CACTGTGTGTAGTGGCAAGAAAACGAGATCTAGGAGACTTGGGAGGCCTGGGTTCAGCTTGTAATACTGCTGTATGACCTTAAAGGTGTCATTTAAGGACACTGAGTATTGTTTTTTTCCATCTGCAAAATGAAATTATCTTTCCATCTCAAAAGATCTTTATCTTTGTAAAGATTGAGTAAAAGTAGGTGAAAGTGCTTTGAAAACTATAAGAAGGCAATACTGTTGCATGACTATTTATTACTATTTATTACTCGGCTGCTCTCCTGGGAATGGAAAGATTAATCATAGGTCTCTCCACCCCAAATTATTTGATTTTAAATTCAGATAATGGCTGTAATCCTGAATTATTCTCCACCATTCCCCAGTGTTCTGACCATGATAATTGGAGCATTTGATAAGGTGGTCCTTATCTTTGCCCCATCTGGGGTTTTCACCTAAACTATCTTCACTTCCTTAATCATCTCTATTAAAGTTTTATGCACATATTACCACCTAATTTTCTCTCTCCTGATCACCCAATTATCTTTTTTGCCACAACTTGCTGATTATATTTCAAAAACCCAATCCCTTCTCCCTAAAAGTCACTTCCTATTCACTACTGGCAATTATACCATATTTATCAACTTCATCCCCCTCAACCCCCCAATGTCTTATTACACCCATAGGAAAACATTAGGTACCTGGGATATGCAAGGTACCTTACCTCTACTTTTCCACTTAGTCATTTCCTTTAATTATTTGCCTGTACCTCCAAACTTATATACTGAGGTTAGCTATTGTCCTTGTAACAGAAATCTTCCATCATCTTTGAAAGAGTAACCCTCTCTATATTCATATTTACTCTCCATTTCTTATGTATCCCAATGCTGTTATTAAAATAATTTCCTAGAAATTGGAGCATCAACTGGTTATGATAATTAAGGATGTGTGTGTGTGTGTGTGTAAGAGAGAGATAATGGTGTATGGCTCTGTTTTAAAATGAGACTTTACCATTTGAGATAAGTACCAAAATATTTTTATGGTTAAGATACAATCTCTGGGATTTGTTTTGAAATAATATTGGGGGGGGGGAGCCAGATTGGCCGTGGTGTTGGGCCTGGTATACAAGTACATGGAGTGTTCATTTTATACTTCTACCTATTTTAGTATTTCCCATAACTGAAATGCAAAAAGTTTTTACTCTTCACTTGAAGATCTAGTATATTTGATAACTGTGCATTTAAATGGTGCTACAAAACTCAAAAGGAAAATATAAAATTATATGAATTACTACAAAATATTAATAATAGCTATCATTTATTGTTTAGTATGTACTAGGCTACTCGGCATTGTTAAGACAATTTACAGAAATTATCTTATTTATTCTTCACAAGCTTATCAGGTAGTTACCACTAAAAGCTGAGAGGTTAAGAAACTTGTCCAGTATCATCAGGATGAAAATGAACACTGAATGTTCATTATCAGTTCCTAATATGAAGAAAATAATTCTCCCACAATAACTTGAACACAATGCTTACATCCAGATTGATGTACTTCATTTCAAATTATCATAAGCTATTAAATAGACCTGGCCAAAGACAAACTTGAAATTAGTTTACATTTACCTAATTAATTCGTGGTGGACTCACAAATTTTATTTGCATTCACATAAAATCAAGTATAATGCTAGCTGACTGTGCCAAGAGTCACTGTTTACAGCCATGATTTGGAGGAAAGGAGGTATCAAAGTTCAAAGGCAGCAGGTTTAGCTTTAAGAAAGCAGGTTCAGCCCCCTTAAAAATGATCAACCACCAAGTACAATCATGAGAAATCTGGCACTAAAGATGATAGTGATCAATTCCCTACATGTTAGGGTACTGAATCTTCTGAGCAGTTCACAAACATACACAAATTTTAGTAATCACTTTATACCTTATATCAGCTTTAAAATGTTTCATGCAACTGTGGATTTTAATGCAGCACAGTTCCTTAAAAATGTCAATACTTGCCTTATTGAAATTAGTGCATCCCTAAAAATACATACTTTCACAAATTACTACTACTGGCTTTAACTCTGTAAAATATTTAAATCCCAGGAAATAAAATCCTTAAGAATGCCGATGTAAGGGGCAAAATATTTCTTTTCAGTTTGTGCAACCTGCTGGCTTTTAAAAGGGATGAGTTTCTTTGGCATGAAGGGAAAACATGAGATATACAAATCTTTCAAATTGTTAATGAACAAATGAAGGTACACACTTCCTGGAATACAAATCTCACTAAATAAGAATATGTTTACTAAAAACCCTCAGTTAAGGGGTCCAGAAGTTTATGAACATTTTTAAGAAATTTCAAATTGATTCACTATGTAACAAATCCAGTAAAAAATATCTTTATACAATTTCTTTAAAAGCCAGGTGCTTCCCCTAGTATATGGTGAACTATTTTATTTACAAAAACGTACATACAGATTCTCAGGAAATTGAGGTATTAGAAAATTGAGATATATTCATACAACAAAGAGGTAATCATGAAAATCCATAACTAAAAATAAGCTTATTTTTTGCATTATATAAACCTTACATAATTAGACTGAAATCTATTTCATCATAATCCCTATATTGTATACATTTTTTAAAGTAGAAGATAAATTTTGGCACTTGGGTGGTCTTTGTTATTCCTAGGTCTTATTCATATGAAGATTAAACACCGACTTGCTATCAACAGAACATGTGCTTTGAGCTATTCCCCATCAGTGTTAACAGGCTGCAGCAAGCCAGGCACTATCTTTGGCCAGGTGTTTACCATCCCCACTCCTGCCCTTTTGATGAATTACACTTACCAGATGACCAGCTAGGGTCAAAGGTGATACACTGTGGCCTTGGGACACAGCAAAATTCATCTGGTTCTCTCAGAAACAAAAACACTTGCCTTTGGTCTCATCAGCATGAGTGATCTTCAGAATTAAAAAAAAAAAAAAAAGAGTAAAGTATAAATATGATAGTTTTCCATGTTCCAGTTTGACCACTGGTAAAATAAGATAACCAATATCATTTAGAAATGAAATGACTTCAAATTCATCTAAAATGAGACACTATTAGGCCTAGCCATACAAAATGTTCCAAGGCTAAAAAGATATGACAATATGAGTCTTATCAGAAACCAATTTTTGGCATTTGAATCTGTCTCTGCAACCCAAAGAACACAGTATTAATGAGATACAATGTCAATATAAAAACATCACCTATGGGCCGGCCTGGTGGCGCACTGGATAGTGCGCCGCTTGGGAAGAGCGGCGGCACTCCTGCCCGAGGGTTCGGATCCCACATACAGACCGGTTCCCGCTCACTGGTTGAGCGAGGCGCGGGAGCAACACCGAGGGTTGCAATCCCGTTGCCGGTCCCCGGCCCGGTACGGGGGCAACACTGAGGGTTGCGATCCGTTGCCAGACACGGAAAAAAAAAAAAAAAAAAAAAAAAAAAAATACATCACCTATACTCTTTTGCTCATAGGCAACTTTTAATCGTGATCCTTCTATATCATATTTAAATAAAGTATTTT